TACCCACCTCATGGTACTGCGACAGGATTAATTATATTTAATCTCAGAAAAAAGCTGTCTATGCTTTTACTAAAAACCCAGAAATATTTAAAAAGTACTTTGACTGAATGCTATTCCTTCCGAAAGTCCACCCTCAGTATAGTTTTCATTGTGGTACATATATAGACTCCTACTGACCTTGTAACAACTAAATCATTTTTATACACATGTATTTACATATTGAAATTCTTCTATTACTGCAAGTTCTTATAGTTGCTAATAAAAAGTGGTTCTGTTTCTTCAAATATAAAAGCCCAATAAAAAAGCTGAAAATACCCAGCAATCTTTTTCTGCTCTAAACAGTTGTTCTTCTTTGCCTTTCCATTACCTCAGATGGCTCAGACCTTCTCTCAAATTCATTGCTATTATTTCAGATTTCCCCCATACTTCAAAGAGCTTACAGAGTGTACAGCTACAGTGCCACTCTACTCTGTTACTTAAAAGATACTGAAAGTATGTAAGAGTGTAAGACAAGACAGACCCTTAAACTCGATTTCAAATGTGCTTTCAGACAAACATTGAACTCAGTGCTATTTTTCCATTAGCTGGGCACCTTACGGCAACTAATATCCCACTAACTCTGACCATAAAAGACTGCTGAATTGGCTAAAAAGTACATCCCCTCTTCAGCAAGTCTGCTTTGAAATTGTAAGGTAAGATCAGAGGAAAACTACCCTCCCCCCGCCCCTTATCCAACCCAGGAAGACTCCAAGTGCCTGCAGCTACTCTGTTCCTAAGGATAGGAAGTCTGATGCATCATTGCTGCCATCTGCTGCATTTTTTTAAATTCTCCCCTGGGACAAAGTTATTCAACATGCTTGGATCCAGACTGAAAACTACGCCAAGTCACTCCTCTCTTTAGCATTCCCTGGAACTGAGAACAGGGAAAGGGGGAGGGAGTTACTTATAATAGTTTTTTTGAAGAAATGCCATGAGCAAACAATTTAACTGTTTTTAATGTCAACTTAAAGTCACAGTAATTACTTAAAAACTTCACAACTATTCAGAAAACTCCCTTATCAGGTAAACAAATAGCAAGATTTTTCCCTTTGTGATTTAACCATTACTAACTCGTGCTTTCTAGAGAGGAGCTAAGTGTCTTTAAGAGACAGACCAGGGCAAAGTCCACTTTTCCAGTGCCTTAACAACCACTTCTCCTATCAACTAAGAAAAGAGGTGAAGCAGTTCAGGCAAGCAGAAACTTATTCCAGTTTCCCCATACCCTTCTCATGTACCAAGGCACATTTTGTACTTGTTCCTTTGTTTTTATCTTCGGGTTCCAGGGATAATTTCTATTTTAAAGCAGCTACAGTGCACATTCATTAAGTCAAATTTCTCAATACTATTTATTGTGGGATCACAACATTAAAAAAAAAAAAAAAAAAAAGGGGTCAACATGGATTTAGGCAGAAAATGCCACTCTTGTTATGCTACATCACTCGAGGCACTTTCTGGCTAAGCTTAACACTGCCACCGACTTGAAAAGCACTTAACAGAGTTCATGCTCTACTACTTCCGACCACAGCTCAACCAGGGAGTAAATTTTGTTATTTTGATTTGTTTTTTTCCTTTATTCATGCATATTTTAGCTCTGGTGTATTTCTCATCTGCTCAAAGCCTAAACAGGTTTTCTGTCTGCATGAAACAAAAATGCTCTGAAGCAGCAGTTTCACAACCTGAACAATTACTTTATTAAAACAGGTATTTAGTCCTATGTTCTGCACACACCTACACAGAAAGAAAGAAGTCAACATGCTTATTAACTAGAGTATACTTACCCATCTTTCATTTCTTCACATACCTATTCTTTGCCAAGAGTAAGGGTTTATCCCAGATATAGCCTTATAGGCCTAGGTTTAAAAACATAATCTAGATTTAAAGTTACAATAACACAGGCCAAAACAGTCCTTACAACCTACCAAAAATCTAACTTCCTTTATTCTTTTTCTGCAATAAAGAAATGCAATTGTAATAAGTCCTGAAGAAACAGTGATTATGCTGCACTCCCAGGCCACACCTGATGCCATGCCCATCACCAGTTAAGGGAACAGAGAAGAACAGCATCCCAACAGACATTGCAGTGACACTACTGCAGGCTTCTGGAAACAGCTGGTCAAATTGCCCAACTTTCCCTCCAACAGATCACGGTTAATGGACTGCTAAGAGTTGAAGTACACATTCTACACATTGAAATAATTAATCATAAACATCAGAAGTAATCTACATGTATAAAACTATTCTTACGGCCTAAATCTAGAATATCATGCTAGAAAGAGCAAACACCAATAAGTATTGAGCCTTCATGATGCTGATACTGTACATGTTGAGTTTAAAGTCTAATTCTCCCATTTCTTGCTTAAAGCTAGTTGTGATCCCTTGAATTATTAAATATCACCTACTCATTATACAGACTGCTGCTTCACATTAAATTGGCACACACTGCATGTAATACTGTGTGTTGTCAAATGATCTGAGGATTATATGGTATACTGAATTTTCACTGAGCACATGGCCCTGCATTAATCTAGTAAACCTGATTTCCTCAGTTCCTTTTCACTCTGAGCCTTATTCTTGAATGGGCTGCAAAAGGATTTTTTAACAACATAATCCAGCAGCAATAAGCCTGAGACATTCTTTTATAGCACTTCCTAAGAAAAAAATTTTTGGGAAGTACAATTAAGTGCTATCTTTCATGAATTTGTTGTTTTTCCCTTGCTTAGAACAACAGTATGATTGAATTTGTATTTACAATACCTGTAAGTATTGACAAAAATCAGTGTACCACACAGATTTGAATTCCCATTAACAGAAACCCATAGCAGCAAGTGGTAATTAATCAGCTAGGGAAAGAACGGGTGATGCTAATATTGCAATCACACAGCAAGTTTAAATGGCCTCACTGTAATATCCTGCACTGGAACACACATTTGCAGAACTTGTTGCTGCTTGATGACAAGAATCTCATCTAAAGACACTTTCAAATTTCCAAATCAGGTCTTCCATTTGACTAATCAAGGAAACAAAATTCTTTGGTCCTTGGAAAGTGCTCTGAGAGGCCACACATTCAAATGTGAGCATGGCAGAGGAAGAGTTGAGGCTCAACAAGCAAGGAAAAAGACTGTGCATACCTTTAGCACTAAAGGTCAGCTAAATCCTGTCTGGCAGAGACAGGACATACAAACTACCTCCACCATGGGATTTGCACCTTGGCCTCTTCCCTCAGAGCAACCTAATTTCTTCTATCTGCAAAGAGTTACTATTGAAAAGGAAACACAGAAGTGAGTTAAAATGGAGTGAACCACTTCTTAAACACTGACTTCCCTGGGTCCAGTCTAACAAGGGCATTCTCAGAAAGAGTAATTGTCAATCAGGATACAAACAGTGTATTGGCAGATGCCACCTGAAGTGATATCTGCCCACTTTTAGGTTAAAGAAGTTGAAAAAATAGCACATTTAACTCCCGAAGCTAAGAAAACCATTGAAGTTAAGAATCTGCTGGTATCCTCTAAGCTATGTACCTCTAATGTATAAGCTACTAATAACAAGAAATCCATGAAGATCCTCAAGATGCCAATTTCCTTCAAACTACTTGTGTGCAAAATTCTGCTGTTAAATACCACTAAAATCAGCCAAACTGGTTGTGTTGGAAATGAACCATACTAGATTTGTCACTGATCTACCTTATGCTTTAAATAGCATTGTTTCATATCTACTTCAATGCAGAAGAAAAGTCTGTCTCTCACACTCTGAAAAATGTTAGTGAACTGTGTATCTTTAAGCAGCAACCCTGAGAAGTGATTTCTGAAGGGTTCCATCACAACATCAAAACCTTCATTTTAATTTAGTCACTACTGATTACCTATTCAACATTACTCACAGTAGAATGTCTTCAGTTTTGTTCTTGTCAAACAATAGAATGACTAAGTTGATAGAAAAATTTAGTTATTGTTCAAAGAGAAAACAAAAATACTTTATATAACCTATATATATTATATTATATAGTAGATATTAGATATTTCCGATTAAGAACTAGCATACCTATTTTTACAGGAAAACAGGCTGTATTTTTTCCTCTACTATCAAATAAATAAAAATTCATATCTGAGAGATGTAAAACAGAGAACTCAAAATAAAAAAGGGGGGTAGAGGAACAACAAAAAGTGCACCAGCTTGCTTAGAAATGAAAAGCACGAGTTTTTCAGAAAGCTTGGAGCAAGCAGTAAGAAGCAAAGTTGAAAGCAGGAAATATCTCCTGCTCAGCATAGCACAAGCAAAGTTCCTGGCAAAACATACACCGAAACCAAACTCTTCAAGATGTCCCAAGAGGAAACATTCCTCCCAATATACAGTTAACACAGACAATAATTTGAATATATTTGAATAAAAATCAAGTCTTCAATCTTCTTGAAGACGTATGTAACATTTACTGCAACATATATGCATACAGTACCAAAAGCATCCCATCCAGCCACTTACTGGATCCTGCACAGCAGCACAGTAACAGCAGCACGTGCCTCTTGGCAGAACTGACTGAGCAAAATTCCTGTTACAGATTGCCAATTCCTGCTCATGTGGGTTTGTGCTTTTTTCAATTACACATACATACAAAGTGCATTCCCTGCATTTTCTTCACATGGTAAGGTGTGAGCAAGAATCTAATTCAAGATTGGTGATACCATTCGTGCATAGCCTAAAAAGCCCTGTCCCTTAAACTGCAAACTGCCATATCTTGCATATGTAAATCCCCACACAGGGCTGAAGCAAAGTTAAGTTGAGGTTCCTAATCAGTCTAGAGAATTAACCACCTCCAACAGCTCTGTTCTGGCTGTTTCATGATGCAATGCTGTCTGTCAGCCAACTGTCTTCTAAAATGTTCTGACCTACAATTTTGATTAAGACACAGAAAACACAATGTTTCATATAACACTAATACCAGGGGAACATGCAATTATAATACTCACTAGATGAGAACCGTCCTTAACTTCTTGTACTTGCTGCACCTGCGGTTCAGCCACAACTTTAGTGTCCTGATCAGAAGTCATGAGCTGTCTGCTTTTTGGCTGCTCACAGAGAACTTTACTGGTCACCTTTGTAAGCTGCAGAAATAAGAAGACAAAAGATTTGTAAGTTGTTGTTGAAATTCCCAAGAACCCGCAGCTGCTCGAGGCACGCCACCCTGATTCAGACCAAAGGTCCAAAGAACTTCCACACAATATGGGATTATGCATCCAGAGAAAACATAAAATGAGGATAAAGCCACCTTGCAGATACACTCAGCTCCCAGTCATTGGCTGCCTTGGGATTACAGATGAACACTTGCCACAGCACAGGGAAATTCCACTGGGAAAGTTTCTCTTGATTCTCACCTTAATTATTCAGACTGCATTTCAAACCCTGACTTCTTCATATCACCTGGCAGGCTCCACTCACTAAGAAGCATTTACAAAGAAGTCACAAACTAATCCTTCTTCTATAACTACTTTGATAGTCACTTTATCTTTGCAAAATTTAAGAAGCATGTTACAACAGTTCTGCTAGACTAGTAATGCTCAACCAGTTCTGCTCTATCATCCCAAAATCTTATTTTATTTGATTAAACAAGTAAAAAACTCAGTAGAAAGTCTGACAGTGACATGGCTTTGAAATCTGATGCTATTATTTAATAATGTTATTTTTAAAAGTCTTCAAAAAACAATAAAAGCTAATTTAAAGCATGAAGTCTCAAAGTAAATACTGAGGTATGAAAATCAAGCTTTTTAATTTTTTATTTTCTAAAAAGATGTAAAATGCTTTGTTTTTTATTCATATGGAAATTCCATATTGGATCTGTAACAATGCATGAGAGAGATTTATTGCCTTCAAGCTGGTGATACCAAACATGCAATCTCCTTAAAATGAAAACATAAAGCAGCACATGGAAATTAATGTTATTGTCCCATTCTTTAGGAACATAAGCTCCTTTTAGGCTACCTTGACTCCAAGACTAGAGTTAAGAAGACCTTCTTTCAGTCTAGGGCATTATGGCCCTCCATGGAATCTCCTTTCCACTGTATTTTAAAGTGAACAAAAGCAAATGCCAAATACAACTGACTGGATATATTCCAAAATTTTCAAAGAATTTGAAAAGAAAATTATTACGTTCAGCTATGAACTGATACAAGCACCTGTATTACAGGATTATGCAAAAGATATTTTGTACATACAGTTGAGGAATCAAATATACTGACATCCCCAAGAAGATAAACATTTCAGCTTTTCATGAACAGTTGCTTATCACCTCGTGCTATTGATGTAAAGCCAGCACGAAAAATATGTTTTCAAAAGAAACACATGTACTGTGTCCTTGTCATATTCTCAGAAATTTCTTTTCCTAACACTCTGTCTCTCAGCTTGGAATAGAAACTACTTAAGGAAGAAACGGCACAGACAAAAAAAAACCACATTAAACTAAAAAATTACACTACCCCTCACATAATGTTACACACAAATATACTCACAGGTTATGTAACAAAGTTTGGAATTCATCCAAGATGTTTATATTCCATAAAATAGCCAAAAATCATCTTCAGGATGAAAGCAATCTTTCAACAGCAGTACGAAATAGCCCAACTCTGTGTTGCTCAAAGCCATGCACAGAAAGATGTGGGCACACTAACACTGTGTAAAGTGTATAAGCTTCTTGGAGAACACTTCTGTTCATGTTTTTTTTAAAGAAACGGTGTTTAGCCTTTCAAAATTATTAATTTTTTTTTCTAAAAGGAGCCAAAGACTCCTTACTCATTTCATGTTCACTGTATGTAACCTCCACTGCTGCTCATACTAACCTTGGGCATACAATTTAGCTCAGATTCACAAGCTAAAGACTACTTTACAGAATGACAAATACGTTTCAGTCAGCAATGGTAGTATCTACTCAGCATTTTGATCCCCAAATCAATGTTAAGGTACCTCTTTGGTACTTCTGTCACCTACTTATCTCACATATTCCCATTCCCTTCAGCCTGTCCAGAGCCATGCTGCCATCTCTTCTATCCTCTGGTACATAGTGTTAGCACCAGAGCTCTGTAAATCTATGGATAAAGGAAGGGAAACAGCTATGACCATGTGAATTGGTCTAACAAAAAGTAAAGTTCAACTACATAAATATCCATTAAAATGCTAGCTGACTGGCCATCAAGCACAAAATACCCAGCTAAATCATTAATTCCAGCTGAGGATAGACAAGTTTTCAGCCAACCTGACAACACACAACTGCAATGTGCACACTGCAACTTCAAATTGCTTGGGCAAGTCACCAGCAATTAGAACAGCATATCATTCTACTGCTTTTCAGAAGTCCCTTAGATGAGATTATGCAAGATGCTTATCACAGGCCAGGTCTAGATTGAAGCTCTAGGTAACTTGGTTTGCACTACTCAGACTAATAATCATATTCTCATTAGATACATGGATTTGTTGTGATACACACCATACTAATAACACTCACCTTGTAAACAAATTCTTTTTAGTAATTATAATGTCAAACTCATTTATTTAAGTTGAATTCTGACCACTAGGGATCAAAACGGCACTCCAAACAACAGTGATAATTTGTTTGAAGGGGATAAAACCTGCTTTCCAAGCCCACAATTTTAACAACAATCAGCCTTTGCCTTTCTGCAAATGGGCAAGCCATAAAAGATCCCAAACACGGAGGGAGCTTCTGTTGCAATTTTCTTCACTTAATACATCCCACTGCACAAGTTTGCAAGATGTCAAGTGCTCAGCTGCAAAATCCCACTGGTTGTGAGATACTTCAAAATGACTTCACACGCAGGGCTGTTCGGGAAAGTTAATACCACCTTTTCTACTGTAGAGCTGCCACTTATTGGACTCCTAGAGAACAAAAGCTGCATGACTGCAGGCTCCCACGGCTACAGTGTCAGAGAATACAAGGGCTGTAGAAAATGCAGCAATACTTCAGAAAAAGAAAACCAATAAAAATCATGGAATGTTAAAAGCTCTCCATAGGATATGTTTTAGCATATTTTCCATTAGTATTGATATATATCTTCATATAAAAGCTTATTTATACAAACCACAATCAATAGCTGGTAATTCTAGAAACCAGAGGTGTGGATTCACTGTTTGAAAGAGTTTATCAGTTGAATTAGTGACAAGTTAAATGCAGCATTTTAATGCAGCAATAAAAATTATCATACAACTGAAGAGTTAACTTGTCCATGACTTCAAAAGATAGGGTTTACCAGTCAGCAGTTCAATGTATCTTTGCATAAATAAATGTTGCAGCAATAAGCAGGAGACATTGAAGAGAAAAATGCAAGTTGGCAAACCCGTTTGGAATAGAGATAGCACTACCTACAGCAGAACACTGAGCTAACACAATCAAATGACAATTTTTTCATCACAGAATCACAGAGCAGTTTTTTAGTTGAAAAGGGCCTTTTGAAGGTCATTTAGTTCAACTCCTCTGCAAGAAGCAGGGAAATCTTCAACTAGATCCGATTGCTCAGAGTTCAGTCCAACCTGACCTTGAATGTTTCCAGGGATAGTGCATCCACCACCTCTCTGGGCAACCTGTGCCAATGTTTCACTGATTTAGAAGCACCCATTAATTTCAATTCTGCAAATGCATATAGTAAATCACTGTATCCTTCTGGCTTGCCATTTGGTCATCATAGTCAAGTTCAGGAACTTGAGAGTAACTCTGCTCTTGACTCTACTACAGACAGTCAAATACTTATTTCGACAACTACCTATCCCCCAAGAGGAACCGCCTAGATTTTATTGAGACTTGTCAAAAACAGTGGTTTGTAAAAACGTAAGACAGAAGTTTAAAATAAAGGAAAACAGATTTCTTTAGAAACGGCACAATATTCAACCATGCTTGCTTTCCTCGAAGCTGTAATATACTGCTCCATCTGCAAAACAACTAATTGCAACAACAAGGGCAAGAGTGCCTTATTACTCGTTTTCTCATTAGTTTGAGGGCGATGGGGCAGTCACTCTTCACTTGTACAGATCTGTCCCTGTGGACACCTGGTGAGTGGTTAACCTGAGGAGTTACAAGAATATTTTCAGGAGGGACTGAGACCATCTGGTCAAGCAACATGGTATTTCAGCCTACTGGTTTCACTCTGCAACATCCACAACCACCTTCACAAAAAGAAAGATAGGGGTTTGTTTAGTGGGGAGGAGTTGATTTTTATTTTTTTTTTTATTTGAGGTTTTTGAGAGGTTTTTTTGGGCGGTTTTACTGTTTTGGTTTTTTGAAAGTTGACAGCATGGTTGTTTACTGTCAAGTACTTTCCAAACCATCTGGTTATAAGAATCCCACCATTTCAAAAGATACCAGATACAAACCAGCCCACAGGATGACTATACAGATAAGTGCACACAACCACATGATCACTCTTGCCTGGATGCCAAGCCAAGCAGAGCTGGAATTGCTCTCATCCAAAAGCTACACGTGTGTGTTAATGTGGTGCCCACATCAGACTAACCTTTACACTGCATTTTAGTGCCAGTTTAGGTATCTTAGTATGGGCAGAGTCAATGTGCAACTGTCTGAAGGTATTTATAAACACACTGCATCCACATGCACCACAGCCTTGCAAATAGTCTGGAAAAGACATCTATCTCCTTGACTGTTACACAGCAATCAAAACCCCTACTGCTCTTGCTGACCTTCCCAAAAACCTCCCTGGAGTGTAGCCCCCAATCCTCCTGCTTTCATTAGTAGACATCTCCAATTTTTCTAATTCATATTCAAAGTGTGCTTTTCTGCAGTCTGTTGCACTGTCTAGAGTTACTACAGTCTGAGTAGCAGCATGCGTTCTCTCAATCAAATCAGTCACACAGATCTGTTATTTAAAAACATGCAAAACCCCAAACAATGCTCTAGGGCTGAGATCTTGCCTGCCAACTTTCAGCCCAGAGTAATCAGCCCTTAAAAAGAGATTTATAAATGCAAGTGCTGACAACTAACTTTCACCCTGCAAACACCATAAAACAAAAAAAGCTCACTAGAATAAAAGAATTTTTCACTGCTCTTCCAGTAAGTACAAACAAAAATAGATTTGAGTTTGGCTTTGTGCGGAATTCTTCCTAGCAAACATTTTAGAAACTTTAAACACAGATTAAGATAAAAGTTTTCACAAGGCTAATACAGAAATACACTTCAGTAACATGAGAAAGCTTAAAATGTTTTCCAAACAGAGGTGCATTGCTTAACTTGAGCCTCGTAACAAACTTCCAGCTGCAGGCCAGAAATCCTCTTTCTACTGTGAGAGACAATGTACTTTCTCACCATCTGCCACACACTTGTGTACCCAGAGGACCGCGACACTACAGCAGAGGTAATCAGAGCTACCACTGACCTCAGCTCTGAAAAGTTTTAGCACCTGCTGAAGACATCACATAGACATTTATATGAGAAACAAAAGATGCCTTTTCCAAAAAGATGCTACAATTTTAATACATTAGCTCCTCTTTAAACGAAGTTTAACTTTTCTTTATTAGTTTCACCAGCATTGTGAATAGCCAAAGCATATGTATCATGTCAAGAGTTAATCATGTTCTCAGTCCCAGTAAAGGTGCCAACTCAGACACAGGATATATGGTTAGGCTTATACAGCCTCATCAAGAAAAACTGGAAAAACCCCTGAAAGGCTAGAAGTATACCTCTTAGTGTTATAAGCACTAATACAAACTTTCAATTTTCATCAGGTGTTGTTTGAAAATACTTTCAAAAAAAGATTTCACCTGTTAGAGTTGACCTATCATCCTGCTGCATGGGGTACATGTTACCACTCTGTAGTTTAGTAACATCATCCAAGCTGTATCATACCCACAGAGAAAACTTGTGACAGAACTCAGGGGTTTCCATCTTTCCTTCAAAGCAGAAAATCAGTTTTTTAACAGAACAGATTTGACAAGCAATCTAGCTTTTAAAGGATGGCATCATTTAAAACAAAATATACTGTGAAGAAGTTCCATTACCACAGTAGATAAAATAGCTGTGGAATGAGAAATCTAACAACACCAAAAGCATATCTGTTTGTGGCAATCTCCACAATCATCACTGCGCCTACATCAGTTGTAAAATCTCTATTACACAACAGCAATTAAAAAGCTGACATGAGATAAATATTTAGTCACAGCATGTGTCTACAGAAGTCTTGAATGCACAACTATTAAAAATCATCACAAGATTCTCAATTCGTTTAACTGCTGATTAGCTAAACAGTTGGGGAAGAGGTTGAAAATTCACCTCTGGAGCTTAGTGTTTAGACCCAGCAATTTATGCAAGTCTGTCAGATGAAGATTTCAAGGTATACAAGCATCCAATGTACATGCCAGCATGGTGGCTGGAAAGTTAGATTACAAAAGCCCGAGCAAAGAACCATAGATTTGTTTCAGTTTTCCTTCCTGCCAAGAAAATGACTTATGCCCCAGCCCTTTCCAGAATAATGCAACTTCTGGGTTCCTGAAGAGGAACACAGACATAAGCATTGGGGGCAAACCTACAACAGTACACTTGGCAGACTCAAGGCACTTCAAAATACACAAGGCAATCAGGTGTTAGCAAGAAATACAGTGTCAGAAGAACTTAAAACTTAATGCTATACTTTTTTAACATCCTTCAACAGAAAACACAAGCACAAGTAATTTAGAGCTGCTGCTGCATCTACTTCACGAGGTTTTTTTTAAATCTCTTCTGTTGTTTATAGGGTTGACAGCCTCCAAAATTGTTCCGCAATTCTATTAATTATCTCTTCAAATTATCCCTTTAAGAAAAGCTGAAATAGTAAATCTTGCTATTTGAAAGGAATGCTGCATTTTCTTTATTTAAAGATCTATGAAACATTTCTGTGTGAGGCTTCCCAAGCAATTCACAACTCTCATCACTTACTGAGCATTCTCCCTCACACAGAAACCTATGCAATGAAGAGTACACTAGAACTGATTACTCTGCAAGTCTGGAAATCCAGATCATTACAGTAATTAGCCATCCAAAAGATGCCAAGCAGCACGTTACTAAACAAAGGTGATAAAGTACCAAAGAAACCTGATACTGGTACATGATAAGCACTCTGTACAGAGGCATACGAAAAACTCTTTCAGTGAAGAGCAAGAAAAATGGGAAGAGGATAAAGTTACAGTCTTACTCACCATCTCAAACAAGAAGATGATGTCAACAGTGCACAGAAGATAACAGGATGACCTCCACCAACAAAAAATTATGATTATCATTTTTGTATCTAGCCTTTTATGCACTGTATTTCAAATATATGTGCTTAACAAAAAATGAAATAATTTCACTACACTCAATGGTGTCGCAAAGAATTTCTGCAACCCTCCTGCATGCCAAGAAGCTTCACATGCAGTCACTATCTGATGTGCACTCAAACATCACTCCAGAGATGGACTAAGAAGCCTGTGGATCACATTCTCCTCAGTAATGCAATAAACCAGATGTTTAATGGTATATACACTTACCATTTAAGAACACTAGGAGTGCCTACTAAGCAGGAATAAGCCACTGGGAAGAAATTTTTACGCCTGATAAGAATGTCATGTGCCTTGAAGACAAGAGTGATTGTGTCATGAGCAGTTTTCAGTTTGCTTATGGCTTGTTCTCCGTTTTCAAGTCTGAAGCAGCACTCTCCTGACTGCAGGCTGAAGCACATTACATTAAGAAACCCAACTCATTAATTAACAGGAGTTGCTTCATATTGCACATCCATCACAAACCCACAAGCTTGTTTTCCTCACTGTAAGTGGACTAACAGCACACACCCTGCAGGTTATTCATAAAGATGTATACTTAATTTCTATTATAACTATCGTGTTAGATAAGATATTTATCAGATGATGATTTCAAAAGTACCACACTTAATTAAAATTCATCTCTTGACTCTGATTTGTGCATTTTCTAAGAAATCCCTCAAATAGCAGAGTTAAATTGTTAGCAGCTCAGCCAAATCATGAAAAATTCTGAAAAGTGGAATGCTATATAAATTAATTATGAACATAGTTCTCCACAACCTCGTTCTCTCTTGATAAGCTGAATGTAGAATCACATCCTTATATTCATTACCAAAGCCTACAAAAAGCAGAAAACATCTCACATTGAATGAAAAAGGTTTTAAAAGTTTCTAAAGAAAGAGATCGTGAATTTGTTACTCAAGTAGATTATGTAAGTACCTCAGAATATAATATAATGATTAATGATTTTCCACTAAAATGCTCCATCACTTTCCCTCCCTTATATTTGTGAGCATTTCACTTCCTACCTCCCAGCTCTGGCATGACTTTTTACTTCTTCAGGACAGAAAACATCACTGGCAAGAACAGAATTTTAATAAATTTGAACACCCCATTCCCAGTTAAACAGAGAACTACACAGTAGTTGCCTCACATGCACTTTACTTCTGTGACCACCAGAAGAGCAGTGGAGGAGAGAGGATTCAAGGTGAATGCCTGGTGGCGTTAATCCTTCTGTCCTGCTCTAGGAAATTAGAGGAGCAGAGCACTGCAAACCAAGTCCTTCAGTTCTGAGTGGAAGTGAACAGCTTAAGTCCACATAACTCTGCTTCTGCTGTTATAAAACATCACAGGTAGTTTCTAAGACCAATTTAAAAAACCCAAAAAACCCCCAAAAATAAAAAAGCAAAGTAAAGGCTACAGTAACATATCTGCAGGACCTTCACAACAGAAACCCCAGCAGATTGCAGCACATTGCCTGTACTGAATTAAAGAGTGAAAGGACAGGCCAGTGCAAGCCACTGCTCTTCTGCACTGAAGTAATCAGAAAACTAATGAAGTCTAAATACAGGGCAAACAATGCTTTAAAGTAGCTACAGAATGACAAGCTTGGAGTTGGACCCCACACTCTGCACAGCATATCAGCCTCTGCCTCCAAACTACATTTGAAATACATTTGTTAAATAAGCCTAACCATAGAGGCAGACTAATTTTTCCTATAATCTTCTAAAACCAGCCAGTCTAAATAATGACTAAGAATATAAATCCCCTTATATTTATGCCTAATATGGGTTAAGAGAAACTGCAGGATGTGATGGACGCACCCTCCTTCTACAAGATTTTTTCATTAATTAATATATTCTAATAGTTGATTAGGTTCTCATAAGAGCATAGGCATCACCTATTATACTAACCCACTGCTCACATTAATTTCTTCTAACACTCCCATCC